AAACCGCCGCGTCGGCAACCAAACCACCGCGTCGGCATTAAACCGCCGCTTCGGCAAACAATCCGCTGCGTCGGCAATTAAACCGCCGCGTCGGCAACGCAGCTGCCGGTCGGCAACCAAACCTCCGCGTCGTCAACCAAACCGCCGCGTCGGCAACCATACCGCCGCCTCTGCAACCAAACCACCGCTCGGCAACCAAACCGCCGCGTCGGCAACCAAACCGCCGCGTACGTGTTCCACTTACATATATCACGCGGAGAAAAATAATTTGCTAGCACAGTATATCTTATGTAAACTTAAGTAAAGAGTGACTGTAAAAATCGCCTCTTTTGCCGCCCTCGATTTCGGAATTGATTCATATGCGAATCAACTCCTTACGATAAGATATTAATAGAAAAAAGTTTCAACTTGAGGTGACATTTAGTTTTAGAGATATGAGATGTCAAATTTCTAATAAAACTAACTTATTTCGGAATATGCTTTTACTGAATTATGTTATACAGACCAATACTAACAAGTATCGTTTCTCTAAAACTAAATGTCACCTCAAGGTGAAACTTTTTTTCTATTAATATCTTATCGTAAGGAGTTGATTCGCATATGAATCAATCCCGAAATCGAGGGCCGCAAAAGAGGCGATTTTTACAGTCACTCTTTACTTAAGTTTACATAAGATATACTGTGCTAGCAAATTATTTTTCTCCGCGTGATATCTGTAAGTGGAACACGTTTTCAACTTGACTGCATCCCTGAGATCTAAGCAGCTGGCCTCTTGTGCCGTTCGGTGAACTAAAATTGCAGTCGGTAATCCATCTCTCACTCTCAAATCTCTAAAACTAAATATCACCATCCAAGCTGAAACTTTTTTTCTATTCATATTTTATCATAAGGAGTTGATTCGCATATGAATCGATCCCGAAATCGAGGGCCGCGAAATGGGCGATTTTTACAGTCACTCTTTTTGTTATTATAATGAAAAATTGATTCTCAAGAGTAGTAAAAAAAATGCTAACGTATCGATAATACGTTTCGCAGTTCGTCTGTATGCATGATACCAGAGAGAAATCTGAGAGCGGCCACGCCGGCGTTTTACTTATTGATACCGTTTCAAGAGACTGTTTTGCGCACCTTTACGCTCATTTTTACTTTTGGAACTTTTGGAACACAGTGTGTGTTACAAATTTTATTGGCAAAAAGTACAAGTTTGATACAAAATCATTTAATTATACCAAAATGCTAGTAGAAATAAAGTATATCAATAAAATATGACGATTAATGATAAAAAATCAAATTTTAATATACTTGCTATACAGTCTAACATAACTGTATTGTTAGCAAAATTTTTAGCAATTATTTGTATAATTTATATTTCAGTATTTTACTCTTTATTCCATTATCGTACGTCAGTTTCATGATAAGATCATACATATTCAACGTAGACAGCTGCGGGATGCGAAACGAAGAAGATTGGTTTTTTGATCGTGTCGCTACGTCGATTTTTCGCCGAGTTATAGCGTTTTAAAAATCCGGCGCGCGCGCACCATTCATGAATGAAGGCCGCGCAAATTTTACGCGAGTAGTACGCGAGCATACTACGTCCCCAAAAAACTGGTATAAAAACATACGAGGCACAGGTGCTCGATAGTAAACATCGCCGCGCGAGACGCCGCGCCAGACGCCGCGCGAGACGCCGCATATACGCGCCGTCTGCTGCTTCTGAATGAGGATTAAGATCGCGAGTCGATATAATCGTCAATAACTTCGCACAGAAAAATCGTAGGAAGATGATCCTGGTCTCGTTGGAAAGCTAAGATTTCAGCACTTCTAACGAGATAAGAATCGCTTATCTCCGATTATTAGTTTATGAAATATCGTTTAATATTTCCGAAAATAATATTGATTTTCTTCCAAAATTGAGATCGCGCGTCGATATAATCGTGAATATCTTCACACAGAAAAATCGTAGCGAGATGATCTTGGTCTCATTGGAAAACTAAGATTTCAGCGCTTCTAACGAGATAAGAATCGCTTATCTCCGATTATTAGTTTATGAGGCATTATTGATAAATTCCGAGAAAATTGATTTTGTCCCAAGATTGAGAGTGTGAATTAATCTTTTGATTGAATGAATCTCTCTCACGTCGTGCATTAAATATAGCAATACTAATTTATGTTCACTCAATATTCATTTTTCTAAATATACACATATGTAATTGCACGGTTTTTTTGTCGATAATCCCCTCCTCGGGTACTACCTTGTCGTGGTGGAGGGGCTTAAGTACCCCGAAGAGTTACTCTCTAAAAATCAATCAGTGCATTATCACTGAATCAGTGAATATTCACTGTTTTCAGTGATAATCCATTGATTGATTTTAGTGAGTACATACTCTAAGACGGGACAACCAAAGGTACCCATCGCGTTCGGGAGTGCCGTATAAATTAATTCAACAATCTACAAAAACTGATCTCCGTAGGAAACACCATTTTCCAGTCACGGTGTGTAATTAACAACGAAAGACGTCGGATTTAAATAAAGAAACCATTTGCCAGCCTATAGTCGTCTAACAATTCTTTTTACTTTAATCAACTACTGGCGATTCACATTCTTTCGTTGTTAATACTTTTTATTTGCTATATTTTTAGTATTCTTTGAATAAATTTGCCACTCTTACGAATAAATTTTTCGAAGTTTCGAAGTAATTCAAAGTTTCGAAGTTCAAATGTCAAAACCTTTGAAGGAAATTACCAGTCTTACTAAATAACACAATTAATCGAAATTAAGTTTTATAAATTATTAATCCCAGACAGCACACCATGTCTAAAAGACAGCTTTAAGACGTCTTTAAGTCTAAAAGACGTCTTAAAGACGTCTTTATGATGTCTTTTAGATATGTGTGCTGTCTGGGATACAATTGCTGCTGATATACTTGATGTATACAAAAATATTAAACGTGATAATTCGATAGATAATCTTCTAAGCATGTTGGTATATCTTAAGACACAGTCGTTATAAGAGCGAACGAGACAGTAATAGGAACGAGTGAGATGAGAATAACAGCAAGCGAAGAAGGCTCGAGGACCGGGATTCTCGCTCGCTCCCGTTACGAAAAATTAATGACACTCTCGTATTACCGACATTTCATGCATGCAGCACGGAACACAACCAAAATTGGGCACTGCATTGCCTACTTAAAAAATGGGCGTAGCACGGACACGCACCAAATGGGAGACTTTATCAACAGTGCTTGAAAATGGGTGTAGCGAAATAAGCGGGAGCACACACTTTTGCATAAGTGCATAAGCATATGCATAACGAATTTGATTGGTCCATTTCCTTATGTATTTGCTTATAGACCAATCAAATTCCTAATGCATGTGCTTATGCACTTATGCAAAAGTGTGTGCTTCTCGTTTTAGTTCCAAAAATGAAAATGGGCGTAAGGCGCCGGAATCAGCCGAGCGAAAACGGTATCAAGTAAAACGCCGGTGTGGCCGCTCTTAGGTTTCTCTCTGATGATACCTACACAGTTGGAAAATTTGTGTTTTCTTGTTTAAAAAAATGCCGGTTAAAATTTTTGTGTTAAATGTTTAACATATTCATGTGTTAATTTAACATATTGTTCTTCTGTTAATTTTGACCTCAAATATAAAATTAGTAAAATACCTGGAAAGAAATGTTAAAACAACACAATGTGTACTTAATTTTTAATCTTACACAATACATATGCTCTATATTATTAGTAACAAGATTTATCTGTTCAAATTTATATAATATAAAATGTTGATTTTATTCTATATGTATAACATAAGTAAGAGTGATTTCGAATCGTCGTTTGACTTATTGCATCTGTAAAAATTACATTTTTAAAAATTTATTTTGTCATTAAAACTATGTTAATTTTACACAAAATGTATTTTAAATTATTTTGAGATTTGCATTTATTTTGTGTTAAAATATTAACAGAGTGTAATCATTTAACATATCCATATTATGTTAAATTAACACAAAAATTTGTGTGGGCCGTTTGGGACATGTGATATCTGTTAAATTTAACAAATTTTTCAACTGTGTACGAAATGTTAAATATCTATAGATAATATTATTTATTGAAAAAATTTATTAACAAACATAAAAATAATTTTAGCATTTCTTGGAGACATGTTTAATTTATATTCACATATATAATATAAATAAATTATTAGAGGACAAAAGTATGACCAATAAAATCATATTTTTTATTATTTTTCATCACGTTATACAATCTCAAGCATTATTTACACGCGAATATCAGTGTAAATACGTCATCTGCTATTTTTAAATCGAATGTAATAAATATCATTAAATATTCAGTTAATACTTCAAGCACCTCGCAAAGCCTTCTCCACAAATCTGGGTAAGACAAAAGCAGCCCGATGCATCTTATCATGGTAATACGTCATTGACATACGGTCGAGATCCTCGTCACTGAATACCCGCACCGGTTCGGTCAAATTCGCTTGCTAAAAAAAATTTAGACTGTTAAGATATTGAATATATTGTTGGGAACCAATTTAAAAACAATTATAAGTTATAATTGTAATATCTCTCAAAAAAATTCTTTTTTAATAATACAAATATGAAATTATTGAACTACGTGTGGGTGTGTAATCTTTTATTGTTCTATGTTCTATAATCTATATTATTATGATATCTAAATTATTAAGGGAAGAAATACATTAAATTTACACACGCATATTCGCATATAGTGCTTCTACCATTGTTATATATTATTATACATATAATACTAACTGGATCTAAGCTGCCAAGAACGAAACCGATTTGACCCGTGGGGTAGGTCGGTACAGCTGTTACCGCGTAGGCAACAGTAGGAAACACAGCCTTGCAGTGCTGAAATGTGCTTCGCACTTGGTCCATATTCATCCATGCTGTGCCAGCCTGACTAGCAATAATTCCACTAGGTTTCAACGCAGCCTTCAGCAGTTCATAATATGATTGTTTAAAGAGATTCTCAGCGGGACCTAAACAAAGCATAAAAATCATCGATATCTTTTCTAATATCTTCCGTTAAAAGTATCGTAAGTCTTTATGCAAAAAGAATCTTGTTGAAATTTTGCAATTAACGCAAAGTTTTTCAATACTTACCTACGGGATCGCTACTGTCAGTAATAATGACATCGAATTCTCCACGATGGTCCCTCAGAAATTCGAAGCCGTCGCCAACAGATACGTTTACTTTAGGATTATTAAGGCCCAAACTCAAACGAGGCAGATATTGTCTGCACACTTCGATAACTCGGTCATCGATGTCCACTAGCGTGACTTGTTTTACATCTGGATGTTTCGAGACTTCTCGGGCAGCCCCACCATCACCACCTCCGACTATCAGAACCTGTTATTTGGCAGAAATTTCGAGTTATCTGTATTTTCCTAAAGATAATTTTATACAAGACTTAAAAAGAATGACGGAAGAAATCTTATAAGTCGCCAGAAGTAATTAAAAAACTTAAAACATTCATAATATGTAACATTTGGTATTTATATTTGACTCAAAGAATTCATTAAGATTTTATTAAGAATTCATTGATTAACGTCAATAATATAATATAATTAGCTGACATTTTATCTTTATAAGAACAGAAAATAATTTGTAAATCTACTTTTTATTAAATCAACTAGCAATTTTAAAAGGTCTATAATATTACCTATATATAAATACAGAAAATGAACGTATAATAAACTGATGTACATCCGAAACCTAATATAATTATTTTAAGTAATATGCAATACTTATATCAATTGTTACACTTACATTCTGAGGTTTTGGGTGACTGCAGAGCGGCAAATATGATATCATCTCGTGATAGGACATCTCATCATTTTCTGTGCATTGGATTACGCCGTCAAGCATTAAAGCCTTGCCGTGTGATTTTCTGCAAATGCGTTCAACATTTTTATGTTAAAAAAATCATTTACATCTTTTAATTTCTTATTTATTTAATTCTTAATACCTTAAAAATTGTCTTATTCATTTAACAATTTTGCATCAGTGATGCAAATACTTACGTTTTTACTACCAAGACGTCTTGAAACCGAGAATGTTCGGAATGCAGAATTTCCTCCACTTGCAGCGAGAGTGCAACGCCAGGCCAGAGATCGTTCATCTCGCTGAACCAACCTGATTTCATGGTATTCATGTTGGTGAAGTTGGCGTCTGATTATGTTCGGCTGAAGTGCTCTACATAAAAAATTTAACAATGTGAGAATACTACAAATATAAAGTTGAAATAACCGTTGCATGTTTGCAAATTGCAGTAATGCTCGAGCACGGCTTAATTAGAAACTACATTGTGTGATTAAAAATGCACTTCAAACATTTAGCATTCATGCTGCTGTTGAGTACGATATCATTTTCTTCTTTAATTTATGTTACACGAAGGAAAAGTATGCTGACATGATACGTATTTTATGCTGTCGTAGCAAATGTTGTTAAGGCCTGTTATACAATACGTCGTATGTCGCTGTCGAATGTCGAAAAGTAGCCGATGGTTTAATGAGAAAAGAAAAAAATTTCTTTTATGAAAAGACTTTGAAATCTTAAATGAAAAGACTTATGAAAATCATAAAATATGGACCATTCACAAAAGAATTTTTTTCTTTTCAAATCCGACAGCGATATACAGCGTATAACAAGCCTAAGGGGTAAAACATCGTAAAAAGGTAAAAGATCTGTTCGCAATATTTAGTCCTATTTGTGAGTAATTTCGCACAATTTGTAAATTACTCCGTTATAATAACAAATCGAGTATTTTGTCATCAATAATGAATTTGCTACAATAACAAAATGTAGAAGTAGATTATCGAAGTATTTCGGATGATTCACACAGTTTAACAGAGCAATAATGAATAAAATGCCAGCAGATAATACTCAAGAAATGTCGAAACACCCAGTGAGGAAATAGACGCAGTCTTAATTACTAATAAAATCTTGTACATTATGTTTTTACATCCTTCTTGGACTAATTTTACTCGGTATATAATTACTTAAATAGTTTAAATTGTTAAATTATTAATATAAATGATCTCATAATCCTGGTAATACAGAACATAATTCTTAATAAATATAGTATCCAATATGAAATGCAAATAAGACGATAATATGAGGATGATAATGCGGTGTAGTCTTTCAAAGGGGAGGTGTGAAACACTGAATGGAGTAATTCTTGATAAATGTAATCTTCCGTATGATTGGATTCTGTCATGCATTTTTAGATTATTACGCATAAGTTACGCAAGAATTGCAATGACGTTCACATATGAGCATTCTAAAGTATTTCTTCAATGACTTCAATTAAGGGAAGATGAGACCTTTGAACGAGAGAAAAGATGAGTGCGGTAAAGTACTTGTCACAAATTATTCATCGAAATGGACACATAAATGAATCTCTTCTTCCAGATAATGTCTCGCTCTCTTTATACGCAGCGCATTTCATTCAATGTCCCGCACATAGTGAGATGGCAAGTTTCATCTGAATCGATATATTTACACACTGAGAATAACAAAGTCTTGAATTAAAAAAAATATTTCTTGAGTCAACTTCTGTTTGGCTGTCACGGGCAAAATAATATTTGTTAATTGACAAAAATATTTCTCAATAAAAAAAAAGGTTTTGACAAGTGACGTATGTTTAACTTAAAAACATATCTATTTAAACTAAATAAATACTGTCAAATAAACATATTTAGTCATATCAGTAACTCTCTTTTCTCAGTGTACTATTTAATACTATTTAAATATCAATAATACTCTTTAATAAATACATCATAGCCCTTAAGTATAAAGCTACCTGCCCGAGCTATCTGCGGTACTTTTCAAAACGATTGTACGGTTGCAGTCATAAAAACTTCGGAGAGAACCAGTCTCTAAGCGAAACTCTAGTAGTATTGATAGTCTGGATAAATTTTTACTTGTTTTCTGTGTGCAAAATTTAGCTGTTTGTCACTGTTGTTTGTTCTTTCGAATATTATGTGTATTGCTCTTGATAAAGTTGTTACACATATACTTATACACAATTATATTACATAAAATTCAGGATTTATTTCTGTAATATAAAGATGTGAGTATGTTTAGAAAAGTAGAGAGGCATGTAGAATAGCTTTGGTAACGCTATAAATAAAAATCACCAAGATATACTCGCTTCTCCGAAAATAATAATCACATTATCACATTGAAGAGGAGTAAAATGTCAAAATGTTGAAATTTATCAGGGAGATGATTTCGCAATGATAATTTCTTATCACTAATGAGAGACACTTTTCAGACGCTTAAGAGCGCTTAATTACAAACGATAATTACATTGCTTATCAATATTACTTTAAATATATAAAATTGCACGCCAGCCCTAGTTAAAATTTCCACTAAAATAAATTGAAACCGCAATAAATTAAAACCGTGAACAAAAGGCATAAGAATAAATAATAATCTATGTGCCGTTCGATATATTGTTGTAACGTTTTGCACTCACAGAGTAATGATTATACCGATCAACTCTAGAAATGTCGTATCTATCCATTCTGCGTTGTGCACATATAACCCGTTAATTATTATAACTTTCATCTATGAACAATACAACAATATTGTAACAAACGCTCTTTAAACATTCGCGTTGTATTTGTCTTGCGTCACATTTTCGCGGAACAGGCAAAACACTTTTCTACGCGTGCAGCGATAGTTTACCTATGATAGTCGTGGCTCGCCCGAAGAAAGCTTGGGTCAAACTGAGACGAAGGCGCGTGTAGCCCGGTGGTTTCTCTTTATAACTGACTCGGCTGTTTAGATAGGTTTATCGTCACTAACACACTGCTCGATAATGTAATGAGACTCGTAAAGTTTTCTTCACACTAGACGAAAATACACTTGTCTTCGCTAGCACGACGCAATTTCTTTTTGAATAAATTTTTATGATTTTCAGTTTTACGATTTACAGGGGGACGGAGGACACGTCGATATATTTACTCCGTTTTTATTTTCCTAACTTTTACTGTAATTAAGAAACGGATTTATCCGTTTATACCACTGATTGCATTTAGAAGACTAGCAATGCATTATTAATTATCAAACCAGTTCTTCCGTAATGAACAGAAATCTCGCTGGCTAATACTTTTCATGCACACCATGCCCGGTATGAACTAACCTTTAATGAACAGATAACAGATAATATTCTTGAACTTTACACTTTATTTTCTTGCTGGGAGAAATGGATGCAATACGTGATGTTAGCGAGGTAAACTAGGAGAGACTGAAAATTCTAAATTCCTTCTCTCGAAGAAAAGCTCTCGAAAATTTTCCCACCACTACCTGCTTCTTCGTATTTTGACCCTAACAAATATCGTAAATTAAGATCCCTAAACAAATACTGTCACTATGATAAATCACCCGACTAGTATTCATACTCAGGTATACAATTCGAACTGGAGACCCAAGCTTTATTTCTTAACAGAGTTTTACAATGACGCAGGAAATGTTTTGAAAGAGCACGTATTGTATAATCTACACAATAAGACTATCTTAACTGAAGTAAAATTTAATAATAATAAAACTGATAAACCGAAAAACGTATTAAGAAAGGAAAGAAAGTCCAAAGGTTGTCTGCGGCAAACCTTTTCTGTGAAAGGAAATATTTGCCGCAGGCTGTTCGAAACCTTAGGCTCATGTTACCGTTAGTCAATTCACATTGGGAATAGTTTTGAAAAAAGAAAAACGGTCATATCTTTCTACCATAGTTTCAAAAAAAGTCTATTCTTTCTACAATAATTTTGGTATCTTTTCTTGTTGACTTTACCCGTTTGGAATAGAACATGTATTTGCACGCTGAAATTCGAACCACTTTATGCATTCCTCGGCAAGAAAATCCATTAGTCACCGACTGTCGATCTCGTAGACATTCTCTAGTTATCTACGAGGGTTTGCTACGTCTATTATAACCCTCAGAAGGTCTGCCAAACTATTGTACATAATTTAAAAAAATGAAAGTGGAAATAGCAAAATACTTAAATATGGATCGTTTACAAGTAAAACAAGATGCGCAGCCCACTTATTTATTATAACATTTAAAATCTTATGTGAAAAAAGAACAGAAATTATTCCATGGAATCATATATTATATTATCAACAACCACATTTTCGTACCGATTTCCAAAAGTATTTTGAAAAGTAAATTAATAGAGGGAAGTCCCCTATTATGAGATAGGATCCTAATATAGGATGGCGGGGTTTCTGTTAAATTAATAGGCATCATTAGTTGATTCCACCATGAATATTTTGCCCTTGGAGCGAAATCTGTTTAGTGGAAAATTTATTGTTAGATTGCGTAATTGTTGCGAAAAAAAATTTGTCATTGAATTTAGGTGTTGAAAACCTGCTATGTCATATTAGATACCTATCTCTAATAGAGGACTTTATAAGCAATTATCAAATATATCTGAAATATATCTGCCCAGATAGCACAAAGAATCCAAAAAGAATTCTTTTTGAATTTCCAAATTATGAAATGAATTCTTTATCTGTCCCATTTCTATTCTAAATGTAAGTTCTTAAGAGTTCCAAAAGAACTCACTTTTATGTCACCAATTTGGAGCCCTTTTT